ATATTCTTGGTGTTCACTTAGGTTTGCTTATGATGGTCTGAAGCGTCAGAGACTTACTCAGCCAATGATCAAAAATGAGAAAGGAGTATTTGTTTATGCCTCATGGGAGGATGTATTAGCTCGTGTTGCTGGTGTGGTAAGAACAATTTTCAATATAAGTAGTCTAAAATTAATTTCTAAAGCTGGATGTATTATGAATACTAATATCAAGTGAGTTGTATTAAAAATAATTTTTACTTTAAGGAACATTTAAGAGGGGAACATTTGACTGCAAATCCATTGTGGTTTCACTTAAATTTCTTACTTTCACTAATAATTCCTGTTTCATGGATTGGACCTTTTAAAGAACCTTTTTCTTTTCATGGGTTCATTTGGAGCACTGGGAGAGAAATGACTTCTTTTTAAATAGGAAAGTAAACTGTTTCTTCAGAAATTTAGGAGGAAGCAATTTCTCTGAATCCTCTGATCTATCTGAAGACATTTATTTTAAATTTATTTAAACTGTGCCAACACCACTTTTGCCATCAAAGACATTAAGTCTGTATTACTTATATCTGAATTGTGCTTTCCTCAGTGCTTTCTCTGCGTGGTGATTGATTCTGCAGCTCAAGTGAAGTGCTGCATGACTGCTCTGGATTTTGATTAAAAATTTTATGTGGGTGAAGTAGAATTGAATAACTGTAATTGAACTTTCCTCAAGGATGTTTTTGCCCATGGTACAGTAGCCTGGTTTGTTACAAAAGCTGCTTCTTCTCAGATAATACCTTTGAATTAAGTTTACTACTTAATTCAACTACAATTAACTACTACCGTGTTACAGGAGTTTGTATTCTGTCTGCACTGTGTCTTTGTTAAAATAAAAGCATTCACCAACCTTCCTCTCTCAGCACACCAAATGAGAATTAGCTACATCTGAGTGGTGACTCAAGGAGGAGAGACCTGCATAGAATACAGAGAGCTCTTCCTTGCTTATCATGCGTTCTGAAGGGGCTGGAGTTGCTGCCTGGCAGGAATCAGACACCTCTGATCTGTTTGTGCTGCTCTAGGCCAGCAGTTGCACTGCTGACTTTGGCACACCCTAATATAACAGATATTTACCTGGGCTAAGTGAGAATTTGTTTCAGTGGTTTCTTTTGTTTATGTTTATACTTCCTTTCTCTCCAGCTCCAGGCAGTGGAAGGTAAGCATATAGCAGCAGTTGTAGGAGGGCTGGTGGATGCAGAAGCACTAATAGCTCTGAAAGATCTACTGAATAGAGTGAATTGTGATACGCTCTGCACTGAAGAGATCTTTCCTACTGCTGGAGCTGGGTAAGAGGACAGGCAATGTCTATCTGTAATTAGTATGTTAATAAACTTTCCAGTCTGCAGATCATCTCATGGCAATATTCTGAAATTAGCAAGGATAACAATTGTTGATGCATTAGCAGGATTTATTTGAATTTACAGTACTATCACGCACATAGAGAGTATTTATGGATTGTGAGTTGATTTGTAGTCTCTACTCCAGCAAGGGCTACACACTTTACCCCTTGTTATACTGAATGTACGGCTGCTGCAGTTTAACAGTGAGTTACTGAAAGCCAGTTACATGCTGTTGTGAGCTGAAAAAGTTAGTCTATTTCTGTTTGTGGTGTGAAAACCTTAGTACAGTTATGATTAGCAGTTTGGATTGAGAAATTTCTTTTCCTGAGATGAAAAAGTATTTTGAGCATCTACAATCTTTACCATAGCTTCATTCCTTCCCTCTACTGAATTCTCATCCTCTTTGTTACATCTTGTTATAGCACAGATTTACGCTCTAACTACCTGCTGAATACCAAGATTGCTGGGGTGGAGGAGGCAGATGTCCTCCTTCTGGTTGGCACCAATCCACGCTTTGAGGCACCACTTTTTAATGCTAGAATTCGAAAGAGGTTCGTATTCCTTGGTGGTGAATAAGCATGTGAATCCATCTGGATTTGATACAGTGCTCGGAGCTGCAGGCAGTAACTTGAGAGTGTTCATTCAGATGGGATCACTGGATTTAGTTCACCTTTTAGTAAAGGGAATGGTGATTTATGTGTGGAAAAAGGGTAGTACCCTGTAGTGTAGAGCTAGTTCATTCTCAGTTTGACATTTTACATTAAGTTCATCTACTCAGACATTTATTCCTTTGTTACATTACACAGACATCTCAAACTTTCTATTTTATAGAAGTCTGTTAAATCATATTCCTTAAAGATTTATTTTCAGCAGCAGTTTATTGCTTTTTGTATTGTAACAAATCAGATGTGCTGAGTTTAGGAGCAGACATTTCAGTTTAACATTTTCTTTGCCAAGTAGTGTGGCTTTCCCAAACTTTTGA